GGATCCTGCGCGTTCCCCGGCTGTTGTGACATGGAAGAACACCCGCTTCATGGCCCAGCGAGTTTGCGGCGGGGTGCAAGAACGCGGCTACATTCGAAACCGAGGGCACAGCGCAGGTGGCCATCTTGGCAAAGGCTGGCAAGGAGGAGTGCCAAGTGATGTTTAACGCGAGTTCGTGGATGAGAAGGTCCTCCTGGACATCTGCAGCGTGGAGGGAGGTGACAGCTTCATGTCGAATGTCTGGCGGTCTGGTGCTGGGGAATGGAGTCCAAGCTGGCTGGGGCTTGGCTTTCGCCGACTTGCGCAGCGCAGATCAACCGTGGGGTCAGTGTCTATGATCGCCTTTGGGCTGAAGCAGTTGATGGGCATCCTCAGTAGAAGTGCGCCTGCGACAATGTCACCAAGTTCGTGCTGGGGCTGTCAAAGGACTCGCCGCGTTGGAGTGCCGTGCGTGGCGTTCGAGCTGAGGTGCAGGCGGACGGTGCAGTCTACATTCCTCGGGGCTGGGTTGTCACAGAGCAAGCTTGCGGCAATGTTCTCATTCATGCAGTGCGAAGGTCACTCCTTGTGAAACGTGAGAAAGCTCGAATGAATCATCAGTGTGCGCTTGATCTTCTTGAGCACAGTGGGGGCGACCCTTCCAAAATGAGAGAAGTGTTGGCAAGGTACGCTAGCTGCTAGCTGAGGCTAGCAGTTTGTCATTCTGTCATGTGACCAATGAGCAAAGCTTGCTATTGAGTAGCTTCAGCGTGGGGCCTGAGTCCTCGGGTGGCCACATGGAGCCTGGATTGGAATTTCAGCAATCTGGGAGGGGCGTTGTAGCTTCTTCGTGGCATGTTTTCCAAGTATCCGAAAAGATACATTCTCGGCATGGGGTTGCTGTGAGCTGCCAGCCGGCGTGCTCATGTCGCATGCTTTGGACTTTGGACACCGCCCCATCCTCTTAATTTGATCTTTGCTACTCCAGTGCTGTGCAAGGCTTCAAGTTACAAGTCATTATGCATACCCTCCGGGTCTGCAAAAGCCAGCTTGACAACACATGAAAAAAGCATCCGTCTGAAGTTGGCACAGTTGCAGTTGCATGATATTCTCCATGAGCCGGCTCCGCAACATCAGATTCTGCTGCTCATTCTCGATTTCCACCTCAATTTCCGCCAACTGTCACCTCTTTTCGTCGTTGGCAATGGCCCCTTGTTCTTTGTTGTTTTCTCTTAATCTGGGGGGAGGGTTGGGGCTAGGGGTGTTGTGGTTTGGCCGTCTAGGGTTGTCCCCGGTTTAGGAGGGGTGTCGGTGTGATTTGTAGGTAGGGTTGAGACCTGCCCGCGCCCTACGTAGCCCGAACCCCTTGATGCTGTTGATGCAATTTGGGATTTTTCCTGATGCTCCGTTTTGCTGGCCAGGGCGTTGGGCATGTTGGGTGGAATGTTGATGTTGTGGACTGAAATGTTAATCATGACTGAAGGTCTGATGCAGGGGACTGTGTTAGATGACATTGTTCTCACAAGGACCAGGACTGTATACCACATGGTGAGCACACTGAATGACACCAAATACAATGAACTGTATTTTGGGTGGGCGCTCGTCGCATGAGCTCCCATTTGCGTGGCTCCTACTTCCAGCGCAATGCCCTTTCCGACACCTGGATTCTTGTTTGTGTGGAACTGCCTGGTCCATCGGTGGGAGGACCTGCAGGTGGTGGTGGCAACCCTACGTGCAGTCTAGGAACCCGAAAGGAAAGTTAACAACTTCAGCTTAGGGTTTGCCTGGTGCAGGTCGACGGTCGCTACATGATCCTTCTGCACATGGCGGAATGAAAGATGCAGATAATCCTGATGTTTTGGGGATGGCTTCGGCCCAGGAAGTTCAAGCTTTTGCGAGCGGAATGTATTAGATGTCCGCTTTTAAATGCGTTTTCGCATGCCGACTGTGGCGAATGCCACACCGCAATCGGATGCTTTCTGACATGGCAATGCGCTGTGCTCTCGAGTAGGCGTGAGAGACCTCCGGTTAAAAAGAAAGCCTAATTAGATCCTTTTGCTCCTCCTCAAACGGCACCCGAAAAATCCGAGCGGCATCCCCACAGGTCCTTCTTACTAGTAATCCAAAGGCCTTCACAAGATCCAAGCAGTCTCGCTAAAAGCCCTTTTACCATTGCCATTGACCCTCAATCTTACTCCTTTAGCCCTCGAATTTTAGACTAAAAAGTTTGTAGCTCACTTCAATAGTTCTGGTTTCTGCCCTTCGAACCTGGGCTATAAACAGTGGCCAAAGCCAGAGTTTTAACTCTCTGACAACTTAAACTTATTCCTGCGTATAAAACATTCGGAGACGTACAAAATATTGGCAGGCGTGGCATTTACATGTGCCGCTATCGTTTTTTAGTCCCCAATATAATTCCCCCGTGGGGTAGTTTATGGTAGGGTATTTGAGCGGGCCGTAGGATGTCATGAGCGCATCAGATTCCAGGGGTGTTTCACAGCGTGGCAATGCATGGCACAGTGCACTACGTCACTACGTCACTACGTCACTACGTCACTACGTCACTACGTCACTGCGTCACTGCGTCACTACTTCACTACGTCACTGCGTCACTACGTCACTACGTCACTACGTCACTACGTACATAGTTGGTTTGTCGGGCATGGGAAAAAATTCCGTGACACAGTATCCTGGGAAAGTTTGAGTTTGCTGCAGTGACGGATGTTTGTGTTGTACGCGCCCATGATATTCCCGTTTCATGTGTTGTTTCCTCAAGCTTTGGTTTTTGACCTATACCCAATACTTTTTTCGCGTCGAATTTCCATCGAGAGATTTCATTACGTGATGGAATCTGCTTTCCCCTGATGTTAAACCACCTGATACAAAACACGGGTTCCCAAGAATTCAAAAATTTTCAGGATGAGGGATTTCCTTGACAATTTCGATTTTGATCGTTTTTGAATGGCTTTTATACAAAAGTTTTTCTAGAATCCGAAAGCGATTTTAATGGGGTGTATTAGGATTTCTAGTAATTTTGATTTGCTTTTGATTAAGTTTCAATTGGTTAATGTTCATTGATAGACAGAATATTCCAGTACCACGATAAATACCTCCCCTAAAATTAAATTCGGGTTCGAGTGTATACATAGGGGAATGGGGGGAGGACTTTGAATGTCAAGGCAGAGGATTAAACACGAATCGTTGCGTGATTGGATGCCATCATGCGCCAGCAAACAAATGAATGGATCATTTGGAAATACCGAGAGCGAGAACTCATGTTCATGGAAATTCGTTCGAGTGAACGTTTACAAATAGAATTTGGATGATTTTCACCACTCCGATTGGCCAGAGAGTTCATCAGGTTTTCATGCAGGTTGTTGTTAGCATGAGTGTCCGGCAAGAGTTGTTTTATAAAGTTGTCGCCATCATCATCATTATTCATCATGGGAATCGCCCATGGCTTATTAGGCGGCATCATGGCAGACGGTAGGACAACACGTCGAGTAATGGTAAGGCATGTTCGAAACATGTTTTTACCGTTTTGTTGGTCAATTTTCCGTGTAGGTTTTGAACCGCGATGTTTGCACGGATGTTCGTATTCTTGGCCAGATTGCGAAACAATGTCGCCTCCAAAATGAGCATTGGATGGTAAAGCTTGGGTTGGTTGAGGGCAGGGCCGAAGATGACTTGCACAGGGCACAAGGTGGTCGCCATCAACAGACCATAGAAAGTTTGGAAGGCCGCTAACTCTTTATGTTGTCACCGTTTCGTCTTGTTGGTAGGTTGCTAATATACCACAAATGGGCACTTTGTCATTGGTGTGTGCATGCAAGATGGGTCATGTGGAATTCACGTACATGTGCCCGAACTTGCGCCGTGTTGGCCTGACAAAATGTAAGGATTGTTGAAGCGTGTCAATACGCAATATTTGGGCTCTTCATTGCAGTCTACCGAGCTTCTGTGCCTCTGGGCTACAAGGAGCTTTCGAAACCTCAGGCGATTTTGCTGACTTTTCAGTGTGTTGATTGCTGACTCGCAATGTTGTGCTATCATTCTACATAATCTTTGTTTGCAAGCGCGTTTAGATCAAATAGGGCTAATGGATGCATGTCCCGTCGGACACAAGGCAAGTTTGATGCAAACACAATTCGTTTTGTTGTTGAGGTATGGCCTTGCGCTCGGCATTGAGACGGTTCAGTTCTAAGCCAGTGCTGCGCTTGGAGAATGCGTTCTCTAAGACAGAAACGAACTGCCAAAATGTTGGCGTTTGTTGCGCATTTCGTTGTTGCAAGTAACTGTGCAGATATGGTCTTGAGTCCAGTTTGGATGATGCTTGGTGGACCCTGAAGGTGCGCCCATGTTGGTTAATGGGCAAGAGCAGTTTGACCATCGATTTTTTTTATCCGTGTTGATAAATACATTCCCTAGTTTTTCAACCTTGCCCTGCTACCGTTGGGTGTCCAGCTAGTCGCAGCCTCACTGTCCAAAGCGGTGCCCTACGCACTTTACGAACCCACCTAGCAGTTTTCGGTGCTGTGCCAAGTTGTCCCACAAAAACCAACACCAAGCTTGGCAAAGTTTCGCGAAAGGCAGCAGTCTTTCGCCTCTCTTGCGTTTGCATGTGTTGTGACACGCGCAAAGAAACCCTGCAAGCGGTCGATTCGTGGTGATTGCAGCAGCCCTCTATCTTTTGCCCAAACGTAAGCCGTCTCATTTGGCCCTTATGTTGATCAGGTGCCTCTCGGTTTGGTGAACGAACAGGCGGTGTCCCTCCAGAACTCCGCTAAAAGCTTCTTCAACGAGGCCTTAGTCAGCCTTGTTCGATGCTCTGATTTGTGCTTGTCGTGTCTGCAAGCACCCAGAGACACATGTCCAGATTACAGCAACCTATTGCCTCAGTGCTTTGGCTCAAACTTTGCATCATTCCCCGCCTACTTGGAGGCTGATCAGGAAGTTGCTTTGCTGCTGTGATGCAGTTTCCGGCTTTGCGCCCAACTTTTCAGAAGGGATTTGCGGCCAGGATGAAGTTCTTCAAGGCAGTTGCAGCTTTCGGCTTTGGTTTGGCGGCAGCTCAAGATGATGCGTGCCACACCTCACACAAGGCAAGCCATGGTGCCATCCCATCCGTTTATTGTGAGAGAGGCTTGACAGATTCTTGATGAGGCAAAGGCAGACTGTACTGCTGATGCCAAGTGCACTTGGTGTGAGGTGGGCGACCATATTGCAAAAAACATTCAGTCATCAGGTTTTGGTCAAGCTTCCGGCAGGCAGCAGCCGTGCCAAGCGCGTGCTACACCAAAGAGGACGTGCGGCCCTCAGAGGAACGGGTTTGAAGTATTCACATGCAGACAGAAACAGGTTCCAGACCATTCCTGCTGAGGCCCAGAAGCTTCCGCCGGCCGTGTTCACCTGCGCCACTCGCAGCCGCCGATCAGAGTTGTTGCCACGTGCCGAGGCTCCTTTCCAGGGTCCGCATGCATTTGGCAAGCTTCAGACCCAAGGTGATATAGGACATGGGGGAAGCAACCCCTTGCAGAGTCAAGCTGTCACAGAGACCCTGTATAGCGCGTGCAGGTTGAGAAGCTTGGCGTTGTGTGGCGAGGCAACGCCACGACCCATCAGAGTGGGGCTCCAAGGCATCCCGAATTTATCGCGAGTCGTTTCCTGCAAAGACTGGTCCTTTCTCATTGCAACATTGTTGGAACAGAAAGGGAAAGGTTATCGCGTGCCCGAGGTTCTCACGACCTCCTAGAGGCGACTGAGTTCCCCTCTGATTTCAGTTGGTGCAACAAGGATGGCAAGTCTGGACCCTAGGAAGTGCACCTGCAACGGATGATTTCCATCACTTTGTTGAAGCTCGCCATCTTTTGATAGTAAGAACCCAGGAGCTATTGCACCATGTCGCGCAACCAGCACATTCCCCAGGACCGAATGATTCTTTCTTTGGCCTCCTGCATTGTGTGCATGCTGTGCCAACCTGTTCTGATCAGTACTGCGGCTCCTGCTGGGCTCATGGGGCAATCTCGGCTCTTGGCGACCGAATCAAGATTGCTCGCAATGCTCAAGGCGTTGACATCAACCTTGCCGTGCCTTGACTGCATACTGCACGAGCGCAGGAGATGGGGAGGGTCTGGATCAATCTGTGCCACTGCAGCCAGCCATGCGCCGGAAACTTGCAAGATAGGGTACTCGTATAGGCTACAGGAATCTGACAAGCTGGGATTTCGCTGAAGTTGGAAGAAAGCTGCCAAATCGCTGGCGTAGGTCCAGCACCTGCTCAACTGCGGTGGCGTCGGCTCTTGCAAGGGAGGCAGCGTTGATGGCCCTTACCAGTGGCTGTTGGAGCTCTCCAAGAAGGGCACCGGAATCAGCTTTCCAGCTGCAACATGCTAGGGTACTGGATGCAGCAAACTGGACGTCCGGACCTGCTTGATCTTCAGGCTACGAGACAGCCAACCCCTACGTGGCCTGCAGCTCGGACTCGGACGAGGGCTTCTGCAAGCACGTGGACACGTCCTGCAAGGCTTTTGTGGATCTTCTGCAGAAACGTGCGCCATTCATGTCGTTCGGAAGTGCAGGCGCTGAACGTTGCACGCACCTGCGGAAGCTTCTCACAGGAGGGTGGGCCTTGCGCCTTGGACTTGACTGCTGTCTACAATTGCTACATAGAGTAGTTTGGGCAAGAGCGCGAGTAAGAGGAATATAGGTAGTAGGTTTAGTAGGTTGGCAGAGTAGCGGTTGTTGGCTTTGCCACATGCCTGCAAACAGGGTAACCTCGGAAGCCAATGCCATCAATGCCATCAATGCCAGTCGCCAGCAACATTGGACACAAGTCACAAAACCTGTGTGTTGCTGGCTCCTTTCAAAATGAAACTTTACGCGGGACCGTGGGTGGGGTCTTGGATTTGAAGTTGTGGCAGTCGCAGTTTTCAACAGAACGCCTGACGCCTTTCATTTTATTTTGTTCCTTGCCACTCAAATGCTGCTGAACCGAGTAAGAAGCCTTCGAAGTCGTAAATGCATGGATGTGAAGACGGGGCCGTGCAGTTGCCTTGCCTTACTTGATATTTGTTTTAATCAATTCTGCTGGTGCTGCGACCTTACTGCACAATTATGTTGCATACTAGAACTAGAATCTTCATGAGACCATTCCCAAGATTGTTGGCTTCGTTTTTTCACCATTTTAGTACCTGCCTGTACAGCATTGTTTCACAAACTTGTAGTTACGCGCCTGAAGGCACAAATGTTTGGTTGAGCAGCAGGAAAGTTTTGCCACTTTTGAGGCACCGGCCTGGGCGAGTTCCCCAACGCCACCATCTCGGACTACGGCTCCATCAGTGGCTGGCACCTGAGACAATTCTTTTGTCAGGAGTCCTTCCGAGAATCGTGTTTTCTTTGGCAAACGAAGGTGCAGATGCCATGATGAAGGATGGTGCTGAGCTATATTGAGCTGTGAAGTAGGGCTACTCAGTAGGGGTCTCAATGTCTCTGCATTTTGTAGTTTCTTGGGTTACTGTGAACGGTAAGGCTTACGCGGTTGTGACTAGGAAATGCAGAAGTCTAGACCGGAAATGCGTCAACATGCTCCATCTTTCACCTCAGCAGGAGATCTTCCATCGTGGTCCGATCTCGTGCGGCGTTGACGCCAACCCATTGCTCAACTATGAATCTGGTGCCTCTAAGAAGTCATGGATGTGCTGGGGGCATGAAATGGCTCCTTCCTGGTGTTCAAGTGCCATGTGCAAGGCATCATCAAGACGAAGGGCGAGGGTGTCGATCACGTTGTGTCCGTGGTTGGCTGGGGCACTGACCCGAAGGAAGCGAGAGACAATGAGAGACAGTAGTTCCCTGCTTCACGCTGCATGCGTCCTGTTGGTCTTGATACTATAGTAGTTTCCATTCAATTTTCCATTATCCCAATATAACCCCTATATAACCCCAAAATAACCCCTACATGCTAAAGAGTTTCCACTTTCTTTTCCATTATCCCCATGATGTTGCTTCTTCATGGCTCCCTGAGGATGGCATGTATTGGATCGTCAGGACTACATGCAGCTTGCAGTCCCGTTTGGAGATTTCGCCTGTGAATGCTCTGCCAGGAACTCGTGGGGCGAATATTGGGGAGAAATGGGCTACTTTAGGCAGGGCATTCTCGAGCTCAAATGGCAGATTTTTTGTTTAGTTCCCTCTTCTTTGGCCAGCAGCATGATCTTGACAACACATGTGGTCATCCAGGGATCTATAGAATCCCTATAAAGCCTCATATAATCCGTCTGTAGTACCTTACATCTTCTTTGCCGTTCCCCTAACAATCACATCCCTACGTAACCCTATGGTATTACATGCAACCATCAGTCTGGCACACTGTGAATGATAGGAAAGATGAAGCACAGTCACAAGCCAGCACACCTGTACAGACAGTATAGATTGATAACAACAACGCAGGGTGGCGAAGGGCGCGCTTCTCCTGGAGGATTTTTTGTGGTCTTCGAGTTGTTGATTTGAAGTTTCTGGCTGCTGCAAGCCTCTTGTTTGGGTGGCTTTACAGGTGTTAAGAGCTAGGTCGGGATCTGCGGTGCAAACCAGAGTTCTAGCATTGCAGGGTTTGGGAGATCCGAGTGCGAAGTCTCGATAGGATCAGTGCTCTTGGGCTGTGCCGAGCAGCTTCACTGCTGCTGAGAAGAAAAATCAGGCGCCTCCGTCTGAGAGTCGCTGGATGCATTTTGGAAGTTGTCATTATCGCCTGCGGATTCTCTTTGCCATCACATTCTCTCTGCCCCAATCGGCGTGCATGCATGTGTGCACACTCTTTCATTTTGGCTGCCGCAGGTGCACTGCCATGAGGGTGGTGACAACTGCAAGGCAAAGGACGTCGCACAGATGGTCGTCTAAGCTGCTTGCCAGGATCTGTCGCTGCAGGTGCAGCTCAAACTGTAGCTGAGAGCGGTCTGGTCTGGATGCCTTTACCCTTCCATGTGGTCGAGCAGCGTAATCACTCAAGGGGAGTAAGATTCTTTTTCCCGTGGCGTACCTGCACAAAGCCGAAAACAATTGTCTTGCTTGGAAGCCCATACGAAGCTCAGGCCAAGAGCATCTGAGAATACCCCGATTCTAGCACGGAGGTTCCGGTGCTGAACTTAGTTCCGATAAGTTGCAGGTGCTGCAGGTGCCAGTTTGTCGCTGTAAGTTTGAGGAAATCTGGGACGAGCTGCTCCTGATGCAGTCATTTCGCACTGTTCCCGCAGTTTGTTGAGGGATGTGCCTCGACAGAGTCCCATGGCCGTAGCTAGTGGGCTGCCTCCAGACTTTCAAGACTGAGAGCTGACCCACTTGCAGTGGCAACTGGTGGTGCATGATTGGGCCCATCAGCGCCATCCGGGCTGTGACAAAATGTGCGCGCTGTAGCTGCGCAATTTTTGCAGGTGCGAGTTATAGGGCTCTCCGCATGCAGTGGAAGTATTGCGCTCCTTCCACTTCACCAAACAAGCTACCGTTGCATTCTGTTTAAACAAAATGGCCATCATGCCGCCTGAAAGGAACTGCGTCTTCCATGGGGCTTTGCAGGTCACAAGCTTCAGCCCGGGCAAATATTTCGAGGAGAAGTACTTCTGGGAGAAGGCAAATGCCTGATTCCCAGCCTGAGGTGCGACTGGACAGAGACTCACAGAAGATCTATAGTCTAAAGTCCTTTGATGGGTTATGTACGGTTTAGGATTTAGGGTTTAGCGTTTAGGATATAGGGTTCAGGGTTTAGGGTTTAAACTCTATTCGATTCAAGACGGGTATCGGGGAGTATTAGAGGGGTTATGAAGGTAAGGGCTTAGGGTTCACGGCGTCTAGCTTAGGGCTCAGGCCCTCAACCCTCAGGGTTTCTAGTTCCAGCCTTAGCTCTCGGCGTTTAGTTTTGAGGGGCAGGGCTTTACGGCTCTGGGTTTTGGGATGATGGGTTCAGTCACCGGAGCTAAGGTCGGTCCCTTCTTCCTCTTTCTCTTCTTTGCGCCCAGCCTCTACCGTTCCTTCAAGGCCCGTTGCTGCAGACCAAGCGCAGATGTTCATGGATGCCATGCTGCAGTTGGTGATTGATAGGCTTCATGTCATAATACGTAATAAGGCCCGAAACTGTTGTAGTGTACTGTCCTGCGGTGTCCTTCTCATACCAATTTGGGCTGCCCCTTCTTTCAGATGTCGCTTTTCCCTACGTGAGATGAGATAAGACTAATGGTCATTCTGTTACTACCCGAAAGGGTAGCAGTCGCGAGCTTGCAGCTTTTCGGCAGGACTACTACTGGACGCAACAGCTTCGCAAGCTGAGTACGGAAGAGATCATCAGCGATCGCTATGAGTGGCTTCGTTTGGGTCTCAGGGTTGAAGCAATGCAACCAAGCCTAGATTAGTAGGTTGGCTAAAAGAGGTTTGAGTCTGAGAGTGCGGCTGACATTGCACATACATGGGCATCATCACTGGATTTGAATCCCCAAGCAAAAGCACCAAACCTCGCTGGAGCCTCCAAGGACTAAACATGCTCCAGGACGAGGTTGAAGCCTGCTTGCTGACACAGGTGCTGGGATGGCATGTGGTGGTTATGATGACTACCCAGTTTTGTGTTGTAAGCAATTGTCAGTGTTAGACGGTCTGTTACACATGAGATATCATGACCCACATGTTGTTTTGGTAAGCAAAGCTGTAGTCCTCTGGTGCTCAGGGCAGAATTTTGTGTTTCTTCCAGGCTTCTGCAAACCCCCATAAACCCTTAGCCTTAGTAGCCACGACCCAAACGTCAAGCCTTTGACCCGAAGCTCGAAGCTATACAAAGCCCTCTACCATCCTCTACCCCAAGCTCGAAGCCTCAAGGCCTAAAGCCCTGTCCTAGACGAAACCTTAAGCTTCATACGCTAAGCTTTGCACCCTAAGCCCCAAATTTTTCCATGTCATTCCAACCAGCAAGAAGAAGGAAAAACGGCAACGCAAAAACAAATCTAACAGCCTGAATCTTCAGCCCTGCATTAACCCTTAAGCCGCTAAGCCCTAAACCCTACATACCCAATATACCCTCATATGATCCCACATAACCTCATACAGCCCTACATAACCCCCACAGTCTGTTTGAGGTGACTACATGCCACCTAAAGCCCCATACTCCCAAAAGAGTGTTCAAATTTGGGCAAATGCCATACCCTAAACCCTAGACCCTATACAACCCCATTGTAGTAGGTTCCATTTTCTCCATTATCCCAATATAACAACAAGATGATCCCGATTTAACTCTGATGGGTACCTACAATCCCTATAAAACCCTATATAATCCCTATATACCCTTATATATCCCTACGATTAAGCAAGAAGGTGCCTGAGGGTGGTATCAAGCCCCTGGAGCTGGGGCCTTCCAAGGTCGAGTGAGGCCATGGTTTTGGTCTTATAGTTTTGTTGTAAGGACATTTTATGGGGGTTTTATAGGGGTGATGTGGGGGATGAATGGAAAAGAATATGGAAACTACTACATATCATGTAGGGTTTAGGGTTAAGGGTTTGGAAATGGGTCTAGGGATGAGGGTTGAAGGGTCGACAGGGGTATAGGGGGTTTCATGCGAAATCCAAATTAATGAAAACTAGAGTAATATAGATAGGCATTCTGAGGTGTATGGGTTTTGGATGGTTTGGGGCATAAAGGGGTTGTAGAGGGATATGTAGGATCATATGGGGAGATATGGGTTCAGATTGCAGGGTATGCGTCCTGCAGGTCGTGAAAGGAATCAGTATCATTTGGTTCTTGCACTTGGACTTGCTGTTGTCCTAGTGATGTTCTGTAATCTTGACTTACTGACGGTTTGTAGGGAATCTGGGAATATAGTCCCTATATATTCCCTATATGATATATTGCCTTGTTCCTTACTAAGCTGCAGTAAGTTGACGAGGTGGGCTTCTGTCTCTGCCAGGTCGATGGGGCCTGGAGAGGAGGAGCATCGTTCAGCCAGCATTGTGTGGAGAGACAGACTTCCGATGATGCTTTTAATAATTCTGTGCACATTTCGAGAAATCTCCCTCTGCAGTCCATATCCCACGTCTCAGAACAAACCCTAGACCCTATATAACCCCATTGTAGTAGTTTCCATTTTATTTTCCATTATCCCAATATAACAACAAGAGAATATTTGGTCCCTCAGGCCTGAGCCCTGATTCCTGAGTCAGAATTCCTCTCGGTCTCCTGCAGGATCGGTTTTTGACTTGAAGTGCGCGCCGCCTCTGAAGCGATCCGCTGCCTCAGAGACCTGCCTTAAAAACTCATGAATCCCCCAGTGGTTCTGTTAGCGATGGTAGCACTTCGCTTTGGGTTCAGTACAAAGTCATGGGGGAACGAATCACACAGGGACAACGGAAGTTTTTGGAAGCAGAAGCGCGAACATTCATCAGCGCGTAAACCGAAACAACAGCATCTGCAACACACGGAGCTTTGCCATAGAACATGGTATTGGTTTGGTCATCATGTGTCACGTTCTGGATGGCCTCTCACTTTCAGGACGCTTCGGCCAAAATGTGCAAATCAAGTCTGCGCGAGCATTCTTTTTCTGAAGAGCAACTTTTTGCCCCAGCTTCTTCGCAAGGGAAGCATGTCTTGAAGGGGCTTGGAGTTGGGTTCCTGCTTTAGAGCCCCCAAAACCGCAAAGGCCTGAAGAGTAAGGATTCCAAAAGACCCATCAAAATGAGAAGCTCCCAAATGAATCAGAGCTCAACTGCATGTTGCTCTTTTGCATCTCGCCGCCACCTGGGTCCCCGAGCCTCTGGAGTCCTCGGGCAAGTCTGGAGGCGAGGCCCAGTGCTGTTGTAGGTCTCAGCGGCAGAGTGGTCGTAGTATGACTAGTGAGTAGCATGAGTAACAGAAGTAGCAGCAGTGGTAGTACTCATCCTAGCAGTACTGGTACTAGTGCTGGTACGAGTACTTGAAATGGTATTAGTACTGGGGTGATCGTAGCATGGTGGTGAAGATGGTTATTCGTCGAGCTTGCAGTCCAACTGTCTGCCGCAGGTCAGGTCATGGAGGCATCTGCCCACCTCGCGGGGCCATCGCCCAAGGCCTTCCTGGGTTTCATTCTGAATCCTCTCAATCGTTCAAAATCCTTCTGCAACCCATGCAACCCCTACAGGTTTATGTATTTCATCCTTATGTAACCCTGCATTGCGCTCATAGAAACTTCATAGAATCTTCATGTCATTCCCGCTTAGGGCATGATATCTGATTGTATCTGTAAAATCACTGCATCAAGCCTGACTTGTTATATATAAGGATATTACCCCAATACTGGAGAATCAAATGGAACAGAACATGGAAAATTATATGGAAGCCCTAGGTTCTTTTAAAGGGGTATATAGCCATATTACCCCAAAAATCAAAAATCAAATCGAAAATACAGTGGAACATGAAATGGAAACTGGGGGCCACAAGCCCAAAAACGTCGGGTCTGGCCAGGTTTAGGGTTTAGGGCCTAGGGTTTAACCTCCTAGTATCCCCCTTACCTTAGGGTTTAGGGTTTAACCTCCTAGTATCCCCCTTACCTTAGGGTTTAGGGTTTAAACTCCTAGTATCGCCCTTACCTTAGGGTTTAGGGCTTAAACTTCTAGTATCCCCCTTTGCCTTAAGGTTTAGGGTTTAAACTCGTAGTATCCCCTTTAGGGTTTAAACTCCTTGTATCCCCCTTACGTTAGGGTTTAGGGTTGAAACTCCTTGTATCCCCCTTTACTAGCCCCCAAAAGGCACGGCGCTCAGTGCCTGTCGTCCTGGCCTGCCTTGCGGCTGCGGCAGCGGCTACATACTGGGCGCCGTCGGTGGGCGTCCAAGAATTCGAGGGTGGCAGGTGAGCTATAGTGTAAGCTCCCTAAAGGGGATGATATAGGGGATGATATAGGGGATTATATAGGGATATATAGGGGATGAGATAGGAGAGTACTATAGGGGTTAGTAAGGGGGACACTACTAGGAGTTTAGAAAAAAGCTCATGTTGTGTTGAAAGACTGCTTAATTGAGTTTTAGGCTTTGCCTCCCTGTTGCTGCCTCAGAGGACTACTGTCCCTTGTGCGACGGGGTTGCGGATCGGTTCGGCGATCATGCACGTGTCTGCCCGTGCGGGGGCGACCGCACCAAGCGGCACAACCGTCTCAGAGCCGTCCTCGCTGCTCGCACTTCCGCTGCTGCCCGTTCGCCGGAGGTCGAGAAGCCAGGCCTCCTGCCAGCGCGGCCTCATGACCACGGCTGTTGCGAAGCTGGCGGATCCGCTGCCATCCAGGGACGCTGGCCTGCTGACGTGTGGGTTCCTCTTTGGGGCCTGCACGGTCCCGCTGCATTCGACTTAGCGGTCACCAGCGGCCTTCGCAGCGGGGCTGTCGCTGCCTCTGCCAGTGACGGCTTGCATGCTTGTGTGGCTTACGACGGCTTACGAGGCCAAGAAGCGTGCCTATCAAGACACTGCCCATCAGTGTTCCGAGCAGGGCCTCCAGTTTGTGCCGCTTGTCGCGGAGGCTTGTGCTCCCTTGGGGCCTTGCTCTCTGCCAGGACAGGAGAGTCCAAGGGCATTGTAATTGACCAGCTCCTTCAGGCCTTCAGCGTGACGCTTCAGCGTGAAAATGCGCGTGCTGTTTTGCGCCGCGTGCCACAGTCCGAGAGTGTTCGGGCGGGCTCAGGGGCCTCATTGCCAGGGCCCTGAGCTCGCCCGACCACCTGTCACTTTCAGCCACGTTCGTGAGTGAGCCTTCCTGGCCCCTGCCCGTAGCTGTTGTCAACTGTATTCATACTGGCTGCTAGCTAGCGTTCAGACAGTTCCGCTTGTGTGGGCTTCCGCCGCGCCACCTCCGGTCCAGGGTTGGGGTTTGCTCTTCTGTTCTGTTGGGGTCGGGGTCCTTTTCTGTTCTGTTGGGTTCTGGGTTTGGGGTTCGGGCTCTGGGTTCTTTGCCGGTTCGGGTCTTTGTTCACTTGAGACTCGCGGTGGCGTCGGTGGAGACCACTGGGCCGGGGTTTTTGTCCCACACGCGGTTTTGCCCCGGCCCGGTTGTAAAGATTTTTGTTGCACAGCCAGCATTCCCCAATAGAATAACTTAAGCTTGAAACGTTTTCAAGGAATTTTAGGCTTTATGGAGCGGGGAAGTAAGACACGGGGATAGTGCCCCAGAGAACCACATGCTCATTGTAAATCTTGTGGCTATGAATGTTTTATAGTGAAGGAAAGAATAGGGTATAGGGCCTATTTTAGAGAGACTGAAAGGGATGAACTCCTTCATTTCATTGCAGACCACCAGTGAAATAAAATGGCAGCAGCGTGCATGCTGCAGGTATGGGTTGGCGGAGCTTTGCGACAAGAACGCAGGACTGCCAGTCTTGGCTAGCTTGCACGCAGTCATGGCTCAACCCCTTACGAACGTTTCCCAGAAATCCCGTTGTACAGAGGAGTTTCCCCATTGAGGGTACGAGGGGTGTCAACTCATCTTGGTTTCAAAGCGCAATACAGTGGTTTGGTTCGTGATCTTCTTTCTACCGTGATCAGTGATGATGCCTGCTATTACTGCTATGGGCTGCGAGGACTGACGTCATTGCCTGTCGTTCCACGCAGCACGTATCTATCCCAAATCCGGCCAATATCGAGGCCTGAAGTGCTGGCGGACGTTTGGTTCAATGGGGTATGTAACCTAGCCTAGCATAGCAATAGACGAGTAGGTCAGCAGTCGCCATAATGATAACGCTAGCACCAGCAGCAGCCCCACAAGAGCAGCCAGAGTCATGAGTCATAGTGGTTGGATGTGATGATGCATGTGCCCTTGCTGTATTTTGCTTCTTGTAGGCGCGACGGAACTACCCTGTGCATAAGTTCGATGAGGCTGGTGAAAATGGGCTTGGTGCTACTTGTTCGAATCGGACATGAGAGGATTCGGCAGAATTTGCAGGATGGAGGCATGTATGACATCATCAAGTACCCGCTGCTTTCAGAGAAGGCCAGCCTTGCAACTTTCTCCAAGAGGATTGCGTAAGACCAGTACACAGCGTGTCTATACCCATCTACACTGCTTCGGGGAAGTAGGCAGACTCACAGAAGCATCAATACTGGGGTTACCCAGGGACCTTGAAGGGTGGACATAGGGGTCCCTTTGGTAGTTTAGTATCATCCCAATTACTTTCTAAATACTCCATTATTTTTTCGGAAAGATTGCTCCTTATAGTCCCCTATATAATGCTAAATTTCCAACGTCCATGACAGTAGTTCATATGATTCAGCACAAGATACTGCAAGGCCTGCCGCTTGCTGGAAGAGTTCAACATCTACACCTTCATGGTGGATAGGAGGGCCAACAAGCCTCCTGACTGTTTTGGATCGCTGTTGCTTGAAGAGATGGGAGTTTTGTAAGTTTGGAGCATACTCGATAAGCTATCAGATTTTTGAATCTGTGCCAAGGCCCCAGATTCGTGCCGCCATTGAGACGATTTTTGGCGTGAAGGCCCTGCCTCGTTTCTAGCCTCACAAATTCGCGAGACTGATGTAGGAGCCTGTCAGAGTCAGAGTATGCCGTCAGTCTTCGCCCGCAGCTGCGCAGGTGATCAAATGCAATACGTTGATTCCAAATGCGAAGTACACCGTAGCGCAGATGGCTTAGCAGTATCGTGAGCCTGCGATCAGAATGCTGATGTTATGGGTTTAGTCGCAGTGAGACCTCACTCCAAGGTATGGCGTGAAGATCGGCAGAAAGTCCCTCTTCAAGAAGGCGTACGTTCAAGTCAAGGCAGTCTGGCACCCCAAGCCTTGATTTGGATGCTGTCGCTCTTTCGCGCTGGCCACGTCATGACTCTGTACTCTTTTCGTTAGAGCCAAGCAACGCTCCCAAGCATCGACAACACAAAAGGGAGCAACAACCATGACAGAGAGAAGTTGTTTCTCATTTCAATGTGCATAGGTTGGATGGTGGCATCTGGTGCTATCATGGTACATTATTAAAAGCTTAGATATGAATTCAGAAACAGGGTAGGTCAGGGTTTTCTCTCCCGCCATCCTTTCGGCCAGGAGGGGGACTCCATTGACCTCTTCCCGGATGATCCTGAAGCAGTCTGAGCGGCTCTGCCTGTCTCACCTCGGAAGGAGTGCGCAGCTCCTAGGCACTGGAGAAGTGCCAGCATGCTACCTTTGTTATGTGTCGCGATGAGTTGAAGTGGTTTGTGGGGTGCAGTATCGCCGGTGTCTGGCCTGAATGTTTGAAGATTCCATTCGGAGCTTAGACCGTAGACTGATAATGTAGGGCGCGAGGTTCAGAGGCGAGTCAAACTTTGGAAGCTGTGCACTTTTCAGTCGTGAGACTGGCAGAAAAGAAGCGACTCTCTTGAGCCGTGCACACCAGACTTGTTACTTGCTTGTGGCTATTCGCCATCGGCCTTCCCAGGTTGCCATCGCAGCTGTGGTTCAACAGGGTTGAACCTGTCACCAAGCCTTAGATGGCATCAAAATATCTCAAAACAAACACCGACGGATGCAAGTCTACCACACACCTGCCAGAGAGCAGAACGATTGCACTCAGACAGCACGGTTCCGCGCGCTTTTTGTGGACTGCTTCATGACGTTGGCACATGTTGTGTCAACTCATGGCTCGGCCACTTCCGTGCAATCTTGCTCTCAGGCTTGCATACGAGTCAGGCATCATGATGCGCTGCCTCCTAAAGTAAATCTTCCCTACCTGGCGCAGGCCTGAGCCGGTGCAGACGCTCTGATGCGTATGATTCTGCTTGTGTTATGGGCGATCGTGCACAAGACCTGGGCCGCTTGGACTGCACCGCTTCAGAGTCAGTTGTTGAATGCTGCTGCTGTTCTCTGAGGCACAGCCCGCGAACTCTATTGAGGCTGGATGATCTGCTGCTTTTTGACTCCGTGCTTCTGTCCCTTGCCCAGGTGAAGGAAGCAGAAGTCGAGATTTGCTACAACAAGCGAATCAACAACGAGACGGTTTCTCCCTTCTGCGGTAAGACGCTAGGGTGCAAGCCCAGCCTCTCTGAAGCAAACCATTCTGCTGTGTGCATGAAGCCTTTTTGGCCCAGGAAGTGGGCGGTCATCAACGCAGCGAATGTCCGCGAGTTCTGGGAGGTGCACGAGCTGGAGTTCTACTGGGATAGCCAATGCACTCTGCCCTTCCCCGTTGGCCTTCCGATAGCTTCGGAAGTCATGTCATCCTTCCCTGGCAACACTGAAGACATGGCCTGGGATGGTGATCTCTTGACCAAGTGGTCAGCCAACTGCAGGGTTCTGCTGGGTGGATGCAGTCCATACACCCAGTGGGTTGGTAAGAACATAGGAGACTCCATTCCTTTGAACAAGGAACCCGTGGAAATCTTCGCGCAAGTCCGCTGTACCCGGATCTACCAGTCCCCCAACGCCACTCGCCAATCATCCCAGATTGCGATCATCACCTGGCACGACGAGAAGCAGGACAGCTGGGAAGTGATCTATGACTATGGTGACCTGGCAGGAGGTGCCTGGCACACTCGCCCAGCTCGCGAGGAGTCCTTATGGCGTATTTGGAACATGGATCCAATGCCAAGGCCCTGGCAGGTCGCGGAGGTCACTTGCCTCTGAATGTAGGGACATTTTTGGAATATATATATATAATGGATTAAATAGGAATCAGTCTTGGGGGTATGTGGGGATTATATAGGGATTAGTAGAAGGATCCACTCCCGGCTCTCCCTCAAGCATTGGCAAGGTGATGTTCTTCACGGACCTTTTCTGCGAGGAGGACAAACAAGCCTTCGGTGCCTTGGATCTACAGGGATCTAGTAATCCAGTGTCAATATTAGTCTTAGTGAGGGACCGTAAACAGTGGACATAGCAGTCCCTCCCGTTGACTGTAGTTCATCTGGGGGTATAGAGGGATTATTTAGGGTTATATAGGGGGGAAAGAAAATGGCAGCTACTAATTACAGTGTAGGGTCAACAGGCTTATACCTTCCAAGACTAAGGAACTCCTATCTCCAATGGGGCAACATTTCTGGACAATTGTATTGAGACACGTACATGCGACCAACACACAGCGGCAAAGGCCTTTGATGGCATTAAGATGCCTGGATACAGGCTTCCGAGGGTGATGGGATGCTTGGCATGGTCAGCTATCATTGACCCCTATTTTACTCAATCCGGATGGGCGTAGCGATGATGTTTCTAGGGACAGTGAGAAAGGACACAGGTGTCATAACTGATGCAGCTTGAGCTTTTTCAATCTGAAAAAACCCAAGGAACTTGGATTGCAAACTGCGACGAGTGGACAGGGTGTGCTTCAATGGAAGCCTGGGTTGGGCTTGACTTTGATGTCCTTCCGAAGCAGGTCAGATGCATACGGATCAACCAGCCAGTGCACGAGGGCTTCTACGAGGGATGGGGCTATCCGCATTTCACGTCAAGAATCCTTTTGCAAAGCTGGGATGGCTTCAAGTGGGAGGACCGCACTCTCTTTGGTGGCTTGGATCAGGGAGGATGGAACAACACAATGCCGAAGGAGCACACCTCTTGGCGCGTTGCGAACTTTGACCGGATCCGCCTGTCCTGGAGGGTATATGAACTGGAGTTCTATGCCGACAGCGACTGCTTAGGGAGCAAAATGATGGGTGAAAGCGTGGACTCGAATCCAGCCCTTCTGTCAGATGAGCAGCAAGCGGCTTGCTGGACTGATCTCGGGAGTTGCGGTGATAATGCATTCGATCAGCAGACTACGACCGGATGGCAGTCTTCATGCTCTCCATGTGACCAGCGGCAGGCATGGCTTGGGCTACGATTCCCTGATGCGCGCACCGTTGCGTGCTTCCGTTTGATACAAAGCGAAGACGTACAGCACCGCACCGATGCAATTGAGCTGGCAGAGTGGATGGGCGATGCCTGGGAGACACGGCGCTTCGAGTCTGGAGTTGGCGGCGGAACATGGAACAGGCGTCCAAGCGGCGTCTCAACCATGTGGCGCCTTCTCAGCATCGTGGATACTCCTCGCCCTTGGACCATCACTGGCCTAGCGTTCTACGTAGACGATGTCTGCAATGTCCCACATGATGGAGACCCCATCACGAATGGCAACGAGAGGCTTTTCCGGGCCGAGCACGCGTTTGATACATCAGACGTGACCCAGTGGGTCACCAGCTGCACACCCGCCTTCACCGGGCATCAGGGTTGCATGGCTAACTCGGCCTGGCTGGGTTTACAGAAGCAAGGAGCCTTCAGCGTCTCCTGCATCCGCTTGTACCAGGCAAGGGAAAGAGATCACCAGGCGGCCTCTGCAGTTTTGCAGGTCTGGGATGGCCTGGTGTGGACTGCTTCACAGGACCACCCCATCCTCACTGAGCTGGGTGGTGGGGCCTGGCAGGTCCTCCCAGGAATCCGTGGCTCCATGTGGCGCTTCTTGGCCGACCCATCGCCAGGAGGCCATGGGGTCGGTGTCTCCGAGATCCACCTCTACAGGAACACAGATTGCACGGATCAGATCCATATGGCTATCCCCAACATTGTCCCAATTTGCTCGGGTTATGCAACTTCAAGAGAAGTTGGCGCGAAGACCGGGTACACCAATCATTATTCCAGTATGGGTGAGCTGACAAGCGCAGATCCCTTGAAGGCTTTTGATGGTGAGCTGCATACCTTCTGGGCCGACATTGGTGGTGCCCGTGCTTGGTTGGGCTTGGACTTTTCCACGCAGGTGTCGGATGTCCAGTGTGTCAGGCTGGCATTCCCTGGGATTCGAGCTTTGCAGCCCTCTTACGGAGAGCTGCAGGGGTGGAGCGGCAGTACCTGGAGATCAGCAACCTCGGGTTCCACATCTGTGTTCAGCATGGACTACACACTCCTCCTGCCCTTGCCATCGCCTCAGACCCTGACCTTGCATTCTGTCTCATGGTTGCCGTCTATCAAAGCCACCATAAGCCACACCGACAGCTGCAATTTGCTAACCTTGACAGCATGTTTTCAGCACCTGCAAATACTTGTTTCCTAGCTTCTTGCCCATAGCCTCTTTGCCTCTTTGCACTTTCTAAGGCCGGCATTGGGTGGGCAAGGGTTCCAGAGGAGACCGGCGCCTGTGAACTCCCTGTGGAGACTGCAAAACATTGCTTCCATTCAAACGTGGGTGGTCTTCGAGCTGGAGCTCTATGTAGACCTTGCCTGCCGAGGAACTCCCATCATGGGGGTGCCCATCTCCTCAGCTGAGGATGCATTGCTTTCAGATGATTTCAGTGGCCATAGGAATCCCCACAAGGCCTTCGACAGAGACAATACTTCATATTGGCAAGCACACTGCATCAATGACGTGTGCACAGCGGGGCAGGCATGGATTGGTTTGGATTTAGAGGGCATGCCGAAGAGCGTCCAGTGTCTTCGCATCATGCAGAGTGGACTACGAGATGAACAAGTCTCCAGTGTGGTGTTGGCGTCGTGGAATGGCGACAGCTTCCAGCAATGGGCAACGTACCATGGATTAGGCGGGATGTTTCAAAATCATCTCAGCGTTTGAAACAGGCAGTCAGGAAGCCGCGCCTCTTGTCCAGATCGCTTTTTTGAATGATGTCCAAGATTTTCTGGGTGCTTCCCTTCTACTTATTAGTCTTGCGATTCAGGCTGGAAAAGGGTCCTTCTGTGTTGACTTCGGCTGACCCCCTTACTTCCTCCTTGTTTTGCTTAAGCATATACTTGTATGTCCTGAAGCTGGGGGCGTAAGCCGGTCTTCTCAAAGGATGTTAGGCAAGGAGAAGAAGGGGGGGACTATGCAGCTGGAGCAGGGAGCAGGGTTTCATGAGGTTCGGAGTCATATTAGTATAGCACTTGCTTTTTCTCTCGGGCTGGGCCAGCACGACTTTACCGCTTTTTGGTTTGGGGCCAACGATGCTGTTCCGCGTAGCTAATCCGTGTGGTGTTGCAACGCTGAGGCAGCGCAAGGTTCCAACATGAATTGTTTTTCAAGTTTGTTGTATCCTGGACTTGGTTGGCGGCATGAAAGAAGGGGAGCAAGCTTCTGGCTCTGGACTTATTGCGTGCAACTTACTGGTGGTTAGTAGGGAGTGAGGCAATGCGATCCCTATGTGATCCCTGTATACTGTTTTCCCTGATTCTCTTTTCACCTCTAGCAGGGCAAGGTAGCAAGATTCTCGTTGCCTTTGCAGGGCATGGATTCGGCATAAGTTGGGGCGACACTCCTCCTGGCGCAAACTCCCACAAAGCCTGTCCGCATTCTAAGCCTTGCCTTTTATGTATCCTTCCGCAAAACGAGCGCTAGTGGCTTGAAAACGCCCTACAAAACCCACAAACCTGATCCTTTGGTGAATCTGACCCCTTTTTTCGCCTGTTATGTAGGTGTGTTTGGGGCAGCCCATTACAGAATATACGTTTGTTTGGAGCAGTGTTGTGAGGACAGGTTGGGGACAATCTAGAGGAGCCGCGAGGACGCAAGAGCAGAGGGCGAGGATGGGGGGGGGGAGGGGCACGAGGATGGTGGAGCAGAGTGGGTTTTGAGCCCTGACAGACATCCCAGCGATGTCATGAAACGGTGGAATGGCTAGCTCATGCACACATGGTTCAGAAGTGTCGCAGCTGCTCAGGTTTTGGGTTTCCAGGTTGTCCTTGTTTTTGTGCAATCGCGCGTAGAGTTCAGCTGGCAAGCGTCTTTGTCTTAAGAGCTGCTGGGCTTGATTTCCATTTTGCCTGCCATTTCCTGCCGATCCGGGTTCCATGAATTCGAAAAGCCAAGCTATCAAGTTCTGCTTCGAAAGCCCTAGTGTTGTGGCCCTGCCATGTAGTTCTTTGTTGAAGGAGCTCTCCTGTTCAGGTGGTGACACATGGAACACCCGTCCAGCACCACCAGACACCATGTGGTCGGAGCGGATTGATAACTGTTTTAGATTTTCGATTGATTTCCCAAATCCCTATGCATTCTAGCCCTCACAACTTAAAGTTATACGTGAATCCTGAAAGGTTGTGGCCAGGGCTCAATTTTAATATAGTTTTAGTAAGATCCTTGGAAGTCCTCTGAAATGGTAGTTTCCCAAAATAGGGGGACCCCAATATAGACCCCAATCTACTATAGTCCCAAACCACTACCCAAAACCCTTAACCCTAAACCCTACAACTCTAAACCCAAGACCTCAACCCTAAACCCTACAACTCTAAACCCAAATCCCTCAACCCTAAACCCTACAACTCTAAACCCAGCCCTAAACCCTACAACTCTAAACCCAAAACCTCCACCCTAAAGCCTAAAACTGCTAAGGTGGCGGATTGCCTACAACCAGCGTGCCCCAGAAGCCTGCCCTTATGCAGAGGAGAGAGGCTGGCCCAGGTCCTGGGGAGTGAGTGAGGTGGGGGTTTCTGAAAAGTATTCGTATCATTTAGTAAAGTACATTATATGGTAAACCATAGTATATTACAGTAGAGTAGAGTATATTATACCACAACATAGTAGTATAGTATATTATATTACAATGTACTATATTATACTAGAATACTGGTTTTAGAAGGCTTCCAATCCTGCAAACAAAGAGCCTTTATTAGCTGCGCCAAGTGGGGTGGACGAGGATATTCCAATTTTGCGAAGCATGCAGGTGGAATTTTTCATGGACGACAACTGCCAGGTGCAGCTTCCCGGGCCCAAAGAAGGCGTCGACGTGGTGGCCTCGGGTACGAGGGAGGCGGGCATCGCTCCTTTGTCGGGCACCGGCCCGCACTTGGCCTTCGACGGCTTGGTCACAACAACTTGGACGGCACAGTGTGGCGCTGGATCTCGCGCTAACGAGCCAGCGGACTGCAGGGCCGGTGTTGAGTGGGTCGGCTTAGATTTCAACCGAAAGTTTGACGGCCTGCCGGTGATGGTCCGTTGCCTCCGGCTAATCCAATCCCGGAGTCTGGGTTGCTGTAACATATTGGGAAACCACATATATTGCAATATATATATACATACACCTATTATGGTAACTTAAGTTCCCTAACAGCAACTCAGGAGTTCTGCCTCCGACTGTTGTGATCCAGCCGAGATGGTCACGCTCGACCGTTGGAATGGTACTGACTGGGCCAGGGCGAACTGGCGCCACGTGTCGGACATCGGGGAAATCTTCCAAGTTGAAGCAACCTTCTCCAACCTTGCTCCGTGCCCTTTGCTGTCCCCAGATCAGATCCAGCTAGCGGTGAATGGACAGCTTCCAAGCAGTATCACGAATCCTCCTGCGATTCAGTCGCGAATGCGCCGACAGGGAGATGAATCCTGGCATTCAGATTCTGTTTTGGGCCTGAAGCGCGTGTACTCGTACATGCGGAAACTCTGAAGTCTGTTTATTGCTCCCCTATTGCCTGCGCGTTTCAGGAATGCATCATCCCAAATCCAGCATCCGTGAAGCTCCTGGCTGATCCGTTTTGTGCGAAGCACCCTGCTTGTAAGGCAGGGTGTGCAGCAGTTCGCTCAAAGTACTTCACTCCACATGTGCGTCATAGCTCAAGGCCACACGTCATGAATTGTGCAGGATATGTTCGAGGGAGAGTGCTGTCCGATGGCGCCGGACTCGGGATGTCGCAATGTTCTGGATGCTCCTACTTGGCACTTAGGCTTCAGGCATGTCCCGCTGCTGCTGCAGCTTCAATATGGATTCCAAGGCAAGATGTTGTTAAGGGGCTGCTTCGTCGGACGCGTATCTAGTCCTCTTTCGCAGGTCTTTGAGGATGAGATCTTGGATGAGAAGATTGCAGCGGAAGTCAGGGAAGCGCCTGTGGTAGGCCTGTGGTGGATGCTTTACTGGCAGCATTTATTGGATTGTATTACAATTGAGAACAAGTATTTGCCTTGAAGGTCATATCTGTTGACTCGTCTTCCTTCGTCATCCACATCTATTCGTTGCTTGAGAGAAACTGCACTGTGACCGTCGTTTCTATCACATCATAGGTGGAAAGATGAGTGTCATGAGCCGTTGCTCATCAGTCTGATCTTCAGACTTGTGATTGATCTGTTTTTTCTCGGCTACCGCCACCACTTCCTTCCAGTGCGGCTACCACTGCTACTGATACTACTACAACCGCCACCACCACAACTATTATCACTTCTCCTGCTGCTACTGCTACTACAACTTCTTATATGACTGCTATACCGCCACTACTCGCAAAAGGCTTTGAGCTGATCATGATCCAGTCGGCGTCGGGAGCTCAGGCTTCCCAAATTCATGACATCCCCGTATACAGAGGTAAATCCATGAGGATCCTAGGGATAATTGGGGACAATGTGGGACTGATGGGGCCGACCGATGTTGAACATGGCAATTACTGCAAGATCAGTTTGACAATCAAGGGGCAAGTGAAGTGGAGACTGGGGTTATATATGGGGTACATATGGATAGCATGGGATAGCCTCCTCTTGACAATAAAGCCTCCACCAACTAGTGACAAACCTCTCCAACGTAGGCTCGCTGTCTTTTCAGGGGAGTGCTCATTACAAGGAAGTGGGGAAGAGTTTTCTGATTTGGTGAAGGGGGCTGGAGCCGATATAAAGGGATAGCCTCAGGATCATTCAGATTAGATCCCTGAAAGCTCTGGGCTCTTAAAATGTGATGAGACCAGTGATCCGATTATTGTCTTGAGTCGCTGCCGGGCACAAGACTGTGTCATGGCAGGCTCCTTGCAATGATTTTGACGGGACATGCAGTTCGGAGCAATGAGAGGAAAGAAGATCATCCTTGGAACACAGGGGGAACTGATACAACTTCGGTGCCTGAAGTCGAGAGAAGCGACGTAGCCGAGCCAGCTTACATCAGCACATGCTGAGCAAGGGATGCGCCACATCCCCTGTGTCATCCTCATACATCCGCTGTATAGTATAGCTGGCGGGCACTCTTCCAAGGACAGTGCTGCCATTTATCGGCCTTATCTTCGCGGCGTTGTTCCTGATCGTCTATGCTGCCACGGCCCCGGTAGAAGAAGTAGAACAGGGACAAGTTTCGAGCAGGGCAGTGAGTATGAGAGTTTAAAGCAATCGTCACGGTCGTAGCTCCTCAAGAATAAGAATACGCGCTGTGGCCACAGGTACTCTTAATGATAGCCTCTGCCACGATAACGAGACCAGCAATTGCTAGTCCAAGTGTGGGGTGAAAACCCCAGCCGTCTGAGATTCCAAAGCCGGCAAGCAGTGACGACGGCACGACAAGCTGCTCTGAGAGGCTCCCATGGTATCATCACCATCATCATCATCATGGTTGTGATTTTGCTTTGTGTCAGTGCTGCTGCTGACTGTGGTCCTGATTTGCTTGCTACTGATTACTGATCTCACTGTTTCTAGCCTGTGCTCAGTGTCAATTCGAAAGCGGCACTATGGATATGAAGTAGCGGACCTTGCAGGATGTGGTACCGCATCTGTGGACCGACGCACAGGCTGGAGAACACGACTGTTGGCCCCAAGTCCCTTCACGAGGGAGGCAGATGGATCCATATGTACATTTGGCATTTTCTATGAATTGTGGGACCCCAGCACAGACCCCCAATTTCTATAAACCTTATTTCTTATCAGGGACCTTGAACAAAAGTACCCCTAGTTTTTGGCAAGCCCCATTTCAGTCGGGTCTCAGCCAAGCTTTTCTTTGGCAGGTGGTTGCAGGGTGGCGGCCTGATACCAACCATCCTGCACCGCTCCCAATTGCTTCCCTGTGTGATTTTTCTTGCTATTACTTCTTGTTTGTGATCAATATTATATAGCTGCTCATACTACTATATCTATTGTTATCAATGCTTTTAAGTCATGTGAAGAGCCTGGCCAGAAGACACATGGCTCCAGGCTTCATTTGGTGCAGCGTACTCACTTCGATAGATGGTGGACTTTGATCTTGAAGAGGCGGCTGTTGGAAGCTGGTACTGCTCTCATCTGCATGGAAGCACGCAATTCCGTGTCAAGAAGCTCGCTGGCGCAGGATCTTGCTCTTGCTCTTTGGTTTCCTCATTGGAGGGATGCTTCTGTGGGTGGTGCCGCGCTCTGTGATGCCTCTGATAGTCGTGTGGTATGGTATGGTAAAAAGTTGCCTACTGCATGGACAGCAGTATCAGTATCAACAACAGCAATAACTGGCGATAACCAAGAAGATGGCATGTATGATGCAAGGCTCTATTGAAAACCCGCAAGTGATGGATCGTGAGACTTGCTGTCAGACGCTGTCCTACTTGTTTGCCGAGATGATAACCAGGCACGGCTTGGCCTGAGACGGTGGAGCACCAAGGTCCTGACACATGGGCGGGGTTCTAAGCTGCTAGGCTCATTCTGGCCTGCAGCTTCTTCATCCGGCTGTCGAAGTCGCCAGCGCCCCAAAGTAGCCAGCCCCCTTCATGCAAGCAAAGCATCTCGCTGGGGAGCTGTTGGAGCATTTGCAGGCGTTATGATCCAAAGAAGCCCGCGGAGAGGAGTCCTTCTGGGTATTCTGGGCCAGATGCATTTGAGTTGGGGAGATCTATCAAGCTTTTGTCTGCATGCGCATGGCTTGCCCTTAATGCAGGAAGAGGCTGGGCATTGTTCTGGGTGTTCCCATTGGCGATCCTGAGGGCGGTTTGGGCATTGAGCATGGGCCCTGGAATCCATCGTTGCCTAGCCACGTCATGTTTCTGTTGCCTAGCAGAGCAGGATTTCGACTCGGATTTTTGGGTTGAGTGGGGTAAAGTCTACAACACATCTAGCAGCAACAAGAACAACAATGAACGGTCTTCAATGCAATTTTTCACAGACTTGTTAGGCAATAGCAGCAGGCACCAGCGATGGAAAGGAGACCAGCAGTCAACTTTGGGTGAGCTGTATGCTAGAACCGGGTCAGCAGCCCTCAGCGAAATCAGTGCACCGCGAAGTAGACAGAACATCGGGCAGCGTGCAAGGCACGAGGGAGGGGAAACGAGAGGATACGAGAGGGAGGAAGGGAGGGAGATAAGGAGAGGGAGTGAGATGTACCAGGAAGGAAGCCAGGCCAGAACTGGGGGTCTTATAGGGGTATACTCTACTGGGGTCATATGGAACAATGGAAAAAATGGAAGCTACAATAGCCAGAACAAGGGAGAGCAAGCTCAAGGAAAATGTAAGTACGTAGGCTGACCCGAGACATGGCCATCTGGGCTCAGGCTGAAGCCTCCCAACTTGGTGGGCATGCTCTTTGCATTTTTCGAGAGCATAGTGGCTTGCCCTTGTTGAGTGGTTGTCCATGCACGCTTGTTGTTTCCAACCAGCATGCGTGCCCACGTCGACAGTAGCCCTGATGCCAGCACGCGCTTTGTCTGCCCTTTAGTCACTTTGCTTCCAGCATTTGGATCCTTGGCAGATCATGGGCCTCGTGGGCCTTGTGCAAGCCATGTTCGATGTCATCCTCATCAGGCGCGTTAGATGCATGTCTTGGAGCCACATGAACTGCAAGCTGTGGATCCCAAGCAAAGCCATGATGACATTTGAAGAGACACCCAGATGTTAGACGGCTTGTTCATGAATGAGCCTCGTTGGACCATGTTGGACCAGTGGCCTCCCCGAGCCCAGTTCAACAAGATTCCTTTTTTGATGTCATTTGTGCCGAAGGGCTTTTTCCACTAGCTGTCCGAACATCTTTCCAAAAGAACATGTCCCTGTAGAAGTTGTCAAAATACACTCGGAGATCTAGGAGTAAACTCTCTTTGCGAGCAACTGCTATGTGTTTGCGGTCTCGTGCCATTCATCAACAAGCAGAACAATTTGCAATAGGACTATCATGACTGTATTGATACGTCTAGTTCTGGAGGTGCCTTTGATCATGGGCTTTGCTGCTCTCTGGATGGACATTCTCATCCATGCAGCTTGTGAATGGATGTCTTTGAGGTGGACGTACTCATTCGGATAGCACGAAGACTCTCGTAAACAGATGGGTGTGATCCCTGAAAAACATAAATGTTACAAAGTTCGTATGCCTGGCAGTGCGTATGCCACAACCATACAGACTGTGCATGCTACGTCGGCATGCCACCTAAAACATGCATGTATTTCGGAGATGTATACTGCCCGCGCCCCTACCTCCTGCTCAGAGACCAGACCAGGACTTCCAACCTTATTTCGCGCTTCGGCTCAGAGAGATGTGTGCACTCTAATGCCGTGGTGGAATCTGACCCACGAGCTCTGCAATTGTTGCAAAAAGCCTCCGAAATTGAGCGGGCTGCGCCGAGGGGGCACCCGGCTTTGCGAAAGCTGCGCGAAACACGTTAAACGTAGGCCCTGGACCCTATGCATCCCCCAGCCCCTCAATGCGAAACGCCAGTTTATGCCGATGCAGGTTCGCTTTCATGAGCATTGGCGTGAGTGACTCAGAATGGCTGACATCAGTTTAGATGAGCCTTTCCAGTGGGAAGTCTTGAGTCGGATGCTAGACTGGAGGTTGTGGATCTGCAGATTTCGCCCCTGGAAATCATCATCACGGTGCCTGACCAACAGTTGTGCGACATTTGCTTTGCTGGCTAGTTACTGAAATTTTCGGAAGTTGCTCGTGTGAGGTCCCTACTCTAGGCATAGATGTGACGCCCCTGTCAGACTCTCAGGGCGTTTTTGACCTAGTTTGTCACTGCTTGCATCCCTACAGCAACATGTCACAAGGACAACGTTTCTTTTTGATCTCGCTTCGCCGCCTCCTTAACTGAGGGCCCGAAAGTCATCACTACCAGGTCGTTGCGCCCCTGTGAATGCCTGATGTTCTGGTAGGCTGGCCACTCGATTCTTGACCGCGATTCTGCAGTCCATGTTCATCGGC